TGTAATTTGAAAAAAAAAAGGCAGCGTTTTCCTTTAAGCAATTGATTAATGGAGGTAGGAAGGGAAAAGAGAAAATTAGACAAGTAAATCCAGTAATCCTATTGAACCTACTTCCAAATGTGAAGAACAGGAATAGCTAGAGGAGTATTACTGAACTAGGTGTAACACTGTCCTTTATAAGCAAACAAAAGTTAATGGATCTAGAAGGGTTTTTAAAATGTACACTGAAGCATGTGAGATTAGTGTAAATAGGAAATGGCACAAAAGAGCATGCATCTATAATGCATTCAGAGGAGTGAATGGTGGTTTTATCTCTGGAATGGCAGTGTGAGAAGGCCATAGTTCTGCTCCTCAAAGAACAAGTGTAACTGGTGAAAATTTAAGATAAAAACAAAAAACAGGCCAGGTGCGATGGCTATAAATGCCTATAAATCCTAGTACTCTGGGAAATTGAGGTGGAAGAATCAATTGAGATCAGGAGTTCCAGACTTGCCTGAGCAAGAGTGAGACCCTATCTTTACTAAAAATAGACAAATTAGCTGGGAACAGTGGTGTACATCTGTAGTTTCAACCACTTGGGAGGCAGAGACAGGAGGATCACTTGAGCCCAGGAGTTTGAGGTTGCAGTGAGTTATGATGACGCCACTGCACTTTATTAGCCCAGGCTGGAAAGCAAGACTCTGTCTCAAAAAACAAAACAAAACAAAACAAAACAGAAAGCCATAACCATAAAAGTCTCATATATTGTCCTAAGGACATTCAGCAAAAAAGCCAAAACATTTATTTAAGAAAATCTACTAAAACTTTATGTGGATGGTGAAAGTCTATGACATTTGAACCCACATTTTCCCTCCCTGTTCCCATCTCAATATGATGGAAACTCTGCTCCAGGTAGGTACAGCTAAGAACTCAATGATCCTTCTCTCCTAGCTCCCACTCAGCAGCTATAGTATCTTCTCAGAAAGGACAGGCCACCAGGATTTCAAACACCTTGCAGCTCTGTGTTCCAGTGAATACATTTCCAGCAGGTTTGGCCAAGGTTTGGCCATAGTGTCCTTCCATGCAGCCCACACTCAGAAGATGGGGACCTGGGTTTGGGTGAGAGCTCCTATCACCCTCACCTCAGCTCATTCTAGCAGTTTCCACACCAAGAGAAACTGAGGAGCCTAGAGCCTAAGGCTCCTGCCCATAACCCTGCTGCTAAAGCAGGAATGTCTATAAGAGAGAAACAGGCCATCCTTACCCCTACTTCCTGATCCATAGCTCAGAGAATTTGCCTAAGATTATAGGAAGGCCTTAGAAATAGAGAGCTCCAAAGCTTTTCATAAAGGAAATTCAAACCTCAAGGCAATCTCAAGAGTTTGGTGGTGAGAAATTAAGACAAGGCCAGCAGTACCATGAGAACAATAGCTAAACCATTAGACTAGATAGTTTACCAGAGAGAACCAGGAAAAGAGATTGCTAAGACATACTCTCCCACGAACAAAGCAAACCTCAAACAGTGGCCTTCAAAACTTGCTGTTGATGGCTGCTGACTGGTCAGGGTGGTAGTTGTGACAATTTCTTAAAATAAGACAATAGTGAAATTTGCTGTATCAATTGACTCTTCCTTTCACAAAAGTTTTCTCTGTGGTATGCAATGCTATTTAATGGCATTTGAGCCACAATAGAACTTCTTTCAAAATAGGAGTCCATCCTCTTAACCCTTGACACTGCTTATTAACAAAGTTTATGTGATATTTTGCCATCTCAACAATTTTTACAGTGTCTTCATCAGAAGTAGATTCCATCTCAAAAAACCACATTCTTTCAAGCACAAGAATCAATGCCTCATCTGTTCAAATTTTATCATGAGAGTACAGCAATTCAATCACATCTTCAGGCGCTACTAATTCTAGTTATCTCACTGTTTCCACCACATTTGCAGTTACTTCCTCTACTAAAGTAGTCTTAAGCCCCCCAAAGTCATCCATGAAGGTTGGAATCAATTTCTTCTAAAATCCTGTTAATGTTGATATTTTGACCTCTTCTCATGAATCGCAAACGTTCTTAATGGCATCTACAACAGTGAATCCTTTCCAGAAGATTTTCAAATTTACTTTGTTGAGATCTATCAGAGGAATCACTTTCTAATGTAGCTGTAGCCTTACAAAATGTATTTCTTAAATAAGAAGACTTGAAAGTCAAAATTACTTCTTGATCCGTGGGCCACAGAATGGATGTTGTGTCAGCAGGCACGAACACAACATTAATCTCTTTGTACATCTCCATCAGAGATTTTGGGTGACTAGCTGCATTTTCAATGTGCAGTAATATTTCAAAGGGGATCTTTTTCTCTGAGCAGATGGATGAGTCTTCCTTTCATGTGAACTCTCAGAGGCCATTGTAGGGTTATTAGTTGGCCTAATTTTAATATTATTGTGTCTCAGGAATAGAGAGTCCCCAGGAGAAGGAGGGAGATGGGGGGATAACCAGTCAGTGGAGTAGTCAGGACACATTTATCTATTGAGTTCATTGTCCTACATCAGAGTGTTTCATGGTGCCCCCAAACAATTACAACACTAACATCAAAGATCACTGATCAGAGATCACTGTAACAGATATAATAATACTGAAAAAGTTTGAAATATTGTAAGAATTACCAAAATGTTATACAGAAATAAGAATTGAAGCACATGCTTTTGGACAAATTGCACTGATAGACTTGCTCAATGCAAGGTTGCCACAAGCCTTCAATTTCTAAAAGAGATAATATCTGTGAAATGCAATAAAATAAAATGCAATTAAATGAGGTATGCCCATAGTGGGCAGCAGAAACTGCCAGAGAGAAAGTCCAGATGTTGGATTAAACAAAGTTTGGCTTTGAGCAGCTATTATAAGTATGTTTAAATAACTAAAGTAAACCATATGAGAGAATTAAATCAAGGTGTGATCTACAACACAAAGTAGCTGAGTAGGAACAATGCTACACTGGATTAGGGAAATCACAACTAAATAGTAATTCAAATTCACAAAAACAAATTATGGGAACCAGAGTTAGTAAATAAAAAGGCTAATATGACAAATACTCCAAATTATGAGTTTGTTTTCCTTTCTGCATTCAGTTTACTGAAAGATACTATATATATATATATACATATATATATATGTATATATATATAGTAATAATTATAACAATGGATTATTGGGAACAGAACATACATATTTGCCATATGTATTATAATAATAGCACAAACAGGCAAAAGGGAATATCCTATGTAGGTGTAATGTTTCTATCTCTCACTGGAATTAATTTAGCATATAAATCTAAAGTAAACTGTGATAACATATATATAGTAAGCCCTAGAGTAACCACTAAGAAATAAATTTTAAAAAAAGTAAAAATTCACTAATGGAATTTAAATGTTACACAAGAAAATATTCACTTAGCACAAAAGAAAGCAGTAAAGAGTAAAGAAACAAAAGCAACATGAGACATAAAAAACAAAAGATGACATGGCAGATATAAATCCAACTATATAAATTTTAAAAATGTTTGCAATTCTTGCTCTATATCTCAAAACAAGAAAAACTGCACCATAAAAATATTTGATATGTTGAATGTATGATGATTTTGTCAATCAGAAGGGTTTTTTTCATATTTTCTATCAATGTAAGAAAAGTGAGAAAATGTTTAAACTGATAAAATATTGTGGGCAGAGTATGTGTTCATAATTAAAATTATCAATGGCATATTTTGTTTTCTCTACAATGAATCAAACTTTGACAAGCAGTAAACAAATTACCAATGCCACATAATTAGAAAAAGGAAAAACTATATTTGAATGGTTTATTTTTAATCAGTGTCAGGACCCATTAATAAAAATGGCCAAATTTACATAGTGCTCTCTATGTACCAAGCACTCTTCTAAGTGTTTTCCATATATTAACTCATTTAATTTTCAAAACTCTATAAAGGAAGAACTGCTGCTGTATCTTTTTTTGTTTTGTTTTGATATGAGGAAACTGAAGCACAGAAAAGTTAAGTGATTTTCCCAATATTATACAATCACAACTAGTAGAACTGAAATTTGAACTCAGGCAGTCTGGTGTTAAGGTTTGTGCAGTTCAACACTATGTTAGCCATATTTAGATTTCTTTTCCTTGTTATAATGTCATTATATAAGTGGGGCTCTTAGCCAGATTCATAATGATTAAATAATTTGATCAAAGTCATATAAATAGACTACAGAACCATTTTCTGAGCATTCAGGAACATTTGAGATGTCAGAAAAAGAAGAACTTGATAGATATCATTAAGTCTAACATCTTCACTTCATAAATGATAAAACAGAGGGTAGGGGGTTGGTTTGCATTCAAGATCATGTTACTGCTTAGTCAGCTAATCTTAGACTTGACTTCCAGGTTTTTCTGGATCTTAACTGGAAAATTTTTTCATCTAGAACAAAATGAAAAAGTTGAGAGAAAGACTTCCCATTGTAATTATCAGTTCAGCAAAAGAATGACCCTGACAGTTGTTCTGTAATTTAGATCAAATCTTACTTTATTTCAACCTCTGTCCTGGGTATGGAGAGTAAATAATGAAAGAATGAGCTAAAAAGAAAAGAGAAGAGCCATAGATAATGTTGCAGAAAGGTCTAGGCAAATGAAGAACGGGAGAAAGCACTGGAGTTTTTTGAGAATTCACAGAAGACATTTGCAAGCTCACTATGGGGAAGCCAGGTGAAGATTTCAGAAATGAAGCTTAGCAGTTGTGAAAGGGAGGCAAGTAGGTATGGAAACTAGACATCCTTTCTGAATATATGTGTATATAGACCAGAATGATCTTGAAATTTAGAGATGAGGTTAGCAAGATTTACAACCAAGTGGTGTTCATTGCCTATGTGCCAGAATTTAGAGATTAACAGTATTAATAGATTGGTTCTTCTTACATGATAGATATCAGTAGGAAAGCAGAGGTAGGGATATCTCTCTCAGCTTCTTTATTTTTATTTTTTCAGAATCCTGTTTCACCAAACCATTTTATAGCCAACAAGAAGAGCTGCAACAATTTTATTGAAAATTTAAAATTGGAGTGAATTCTAGTCCTCCTTTTACCAACAAGGATAATTTTCGGTAAGTCATTACCTTTCAGGGTTCAAGTGAACTTTAAGTTTTATTACTCCTAGACTTGTCAGAACCTTTAATGTTGCAATGTGCATTATAAATCTCTAAGAGAGACCTATGGCATGCACATTTGTCAAAACTTATTTGATCAGGGGAACTCTTTTTGGAAAGATCAACTTGTTGGACATTTTATTTTCAGCATATGCTTCAGCAAACTATCTGAGAAATATCACTTTTACTTCATTTAAAAATAATTTGTTATAAACTTATTTTCCTGTGTTTTTCTTCTGGATGTATATTTTCCATATGACATATAGTCATCTTTCCAATAAGTTCATAAGCATGAACATCATCCCTGCCTTTTAGCATTTCTAGTTAAATATTCTGGACTAGAAATTATCAGCTCTGAATATTTATAGCAATAATCTAGTGATGTCTCGCATTTGGAACAATGGTCTTTCTGCTTCAGTAGCTGATTCAGGAAGACAAGACTTTTTCTTTATGGTTTCCAGTGCAAAGGCAGCACCAATCTGGTCTCTGGTTTGTGACATGGAGCACTCCGTTATTGTGAGAAAGTTTGGCAGATCATCCAGCAGTGGCAAACACAAAACTGTCAAAAGTTTACTGAGTTTTGGTGTATAGGGGGTCTTCTTTCTTCAGGTTCCATTTAAAATTCTTAGTCTAACATACAAATTTAAGCCCTCTTTTGATTTGCAGCCTCCCTTCTCAACCTATCTCCAAGGACTCGCTTTGACTTTTGATTAACTAATTTATTTATTCAATCATTCATTTGTTTAACTGTTTTCCATATAGGTGTTGTGGTGGACAGAGAGGCAAATATGGAGCCTGCTATCTAGAGGCTTTGGCCTAGTAGGGGGAAAATATGCAAGAAAACCCTCAATAATTATAATGCAGTAAGAAAGAAGTGCTATTAAACTGTAGGTGGTCGGGTGTCATCCAGGTTGAGAGGAAGATTCCTTAAATACAGCATCTGAGAAGGCATTATAGACAAGATGACATTTGAGCTGGTTCTCTGTCTGCAGAAAATTTTGAGCATCTGCTTTGTGCCAGCTTCAGAACATACTTGTGAATAAGCCTAATTAAAATGAGTAACACTTACTGAGTGTCACTTGCCCAGTTTCCCTGTGTTCTCTCTCATGATAATTGTATAAAATGCTCATTATTTTATGCTCATTTTGCAAATATAGAAATTCACACATTTAAGTAACTTTTCTGAAGCCCCTCAGTTAGTAAATGATCCAGCCAGGTTTAAATCCACAAAGCACAGGTTTAAGTCCCATGTCCTTACTCTCTCCTTTCCATGATCCTTTATCTCATAGTGGTCAGATCTAACACAGGAGACAGACTAGGTGATTATAATACAAATTTATGTTATAAAATGTGGGACATGCAAAGTATTTGGGAGCAAATAGGAAGGGCACTTAACCCAGTTATGGAGGATCGAAGAAGTAGACACAGCTCTTCTAGAACCTGGATAATAAATTGAAGTTGGTCAGGCAAAAGAGGAAATAAACAGATGAGGGAATTGGGAGGCTCAGGGTGAGTGTTTCATTAGAGAGAATGACATGTGCAAGAGCCAATGATAAAGGAGCTTAACTAGATGAGGGAATTACTTGGTGTGACTCCATGATAGACCTGTGGCTAAAACAATTATTACACAAGTTCGTTGTGAGAATTAAACAAGCAATTGTTTATTAAAAAAAAAAAAAGAAAGAAAGAAAGCTCAAGTACCTAAACCTTGAGTGATATAAATTAGGTAATTTTTGACTTGTTTTCCTCCATACCACACACACCCTTTTTAACTTTAAGTCAGTTGTTCTGACAAATTCATGCTCAGTTTTTTTTGTTTGCATTGAGGATTCCCTTGATCATGAGTCAGTAAAAGTCACCTGAAACAGTGCTGTCAGTTTTTCTAGAATTTAAAAGTAAACCTCAAAAATATGGAAATTCAAGGTAAAATCTGCTGAGTTTCCCCCTGGCCCCAGGAAAAGATAATAAGCACATGTAATATTTGAGGCTATACCCTCTGAAGAGGTCAAGTAATGTTAGGAGAAAGAAAAAAAAGTAGGAAGAGGAAGAGCAAAAGGAGGATATGAAAGGATTTACCCAGCTTGGGCATTGTCACAGGCCAATATAAGAATCTCGATACTGCGACACTGCACAACTTCAGAGGGTGTCATGCATGTTGTTTTTTCTATGGATTTATACAATACACTATCTGTATTTCTATATATGGCAGCACTAAATATGACATGCAGTTCATTTGGGGCAGAAGTTCTTGTCTTTTAGTGGTGATCAACAATAGAATGAGTTTGACTATAAAGGAATAAGATCCTCATCACCAGAAGTTTTCAAGTAGATATATGCAGATTTTTCTCCTATTGAGATTGTTATATAAAGGAGAGAAGCTGAGCCAGATTACCTAAGATTTGTCCTGTTTCACTCTAAAGTTCCATGTTTCTGTGATATTTGTATGCCTTTCCCTTCTTTAAAAAATATGTATAATTAGAGCACACTATTTTTAAAAGGTAGGATATATAGAGAAGTAGAAAAATAAAAGTGTATTAATAGTTAATTGTGCAGTACACAACCTGTAGTGAACAAATATTAACCAAAATACACATATTGCTGCTAAACGTTTGTTGCATTTTTTTGCCAGTTTATCTTTGGTTCCCGTTTATTGTTTTTTCCTCCCCACAGTGGCAATCAAATAATACTAATCACGTTATAACTTTCTGAAACTGTTAATGTGACTCTATTTGGAATGAGGATTTTTGAATATGTAATTCCATGAGAATCTCGAGATGAGATCATCCTAGTTTATCTGGGTGTCACTGGTCTAAATCCAGTGACACCTGTCTTTATGAAAGACAAATGAGGAAAAGACACAGCCCAGAGAGGAAAGCTTTGTGAAGGTAGACCAGAGATTGGAATTTTGCAGCCCCAGCCAAGGAAGGCTTAGAGCCACCAGAAGAGGAAGAGGAGGGAAGGAAGGCTTCTCCCCTGGAGGCTGCAGAGGCATCGTGGACCTGCCAACACCCTGATTTCAGACTTAAGGCCTCCAGAATTGTGAGACAGAAAATTTCTGTTGTTTTAAGCCACCTGTTTGCAGTAATTTATTATTAGCTTCAGGAAACTAACATATATTCTCATGTGTATTTTATCGTAACCACAACTGCCCATTGGTCATTATCACCTGAATAACACAAAGGAGAACTTAGGAGGCTAGATTGAAGATATGTGGCACTAGATTGTGTTAATCATGACCCTCAGTTTAAGAGGTTGCTTCTGAAATGTCATTTGCATCCAAAAAAGAAAGTTTTTCTTTGCTTTGAAGATTGAAAGTGATCATATATGAGGTTGTAAGGAAGTTAAAATCTGATCCCAAAATAAGGGAAAATGCAATGAACCAAGGTACACGAAAAATAATATTTGATGCAATGCCTGGATTATTTAATAAATCATAGGGCTTCCTCCCACTCTCCTTCATTTCTAAATTATTATATTTAAATATCAACCCAACTTGATTATCAACTGCACATCCTTATCATTTTCACTCATGCAGAGCAGGGTTCCATATAAATATTCATGGAAAAATTTTCCTTTTTACACATTCAAAATCCTTGCTTGATGGTCTGGAGTTAGATTTCTGGCACTCTTCAATGTCAAGGGCACTGCAGCTTTCTCTGAACAAAACATCCTGGCTATCTGCAGAAACGCAGCTGTCAATGCAGGCTTTGCAGTCTTAGATCAAGAATGCCAGCATTTCACAGAATTCTGACAGTTGGCGAACAGACAGACTCACACACAGGTACACATACAACACAATATTCTACATACCAGTATTTGTATCTATGTTATTGGTGCAGTATCTTGACATATACAAGGAGAGCCATGGGTGCTGCATGTGTACACCCACAATGTTTTTGGCTGCAGTGATACACAGATGTGTCTTCAAATAACATGCAATCCTTTCAAACACAGACAAGTATTAAGTAAATGACACTTCTATTACACTGCTTGACATTTCATTATCTAAATGCCTAGCCTTCTTTTTGCTTTGGGATAATTAGTTGTCAACTCCCCAAAGCAATTACGTTGTCTGTGTTACTCCAGTTCTTCAAAGGGCATTGGGGGACATCTTTAAAAAATATCTTATATTCAGATGAAACGAAAGTCCTGAGAAGAATGTCCTGAACACAAAGAATTAGGCCACAGAAAAATAAATAAATCAATAACCTGGCACCCGCTACATTACCTGAAGTTAGGAAAGGAAAATAATTTGAATCAGTGTCTCACTAGCGAAATACAGGGTTTCAGCAAAATCAGTGAGACTTTTTTCCCAGACGTGAAAGTTGTGATTTTAAGAGTTGGTGACATCTCTCACTATGCTGAATATAAAATTTTATCAAAGTGTAGTTACCTCACCTCACCTCATACTTCAGGAATAAATTACTATTTAATTTTGTGGATTTGTATGTTCAAGTTCTCCTCCAAATTTTTAGAAGTAGTTTATTTTTGCTATTAATTTCTTTCTTCTCAGTAGCTATAACACATATAGAAGTGACATTATTTTTCTGTGGTGCCAGGCTTATTATTGAATTTTTAAGTAAGTTCAAATTCACTCTGTAGTGATCTATATAAAAAGAGAGCAACAGGAGAATGGAAATAAAGATACAGACAATACACAGATGTGAAAGATACTTGAGTGTACACAGGTCAGGCTTAAAAGGATGTGGGTTGATACGGAAATTTAATGGCCACAGGTCTAACAATGAGAAATCAAGAGGGAAAGAAAGGTTCCTTTTATTTAAGTCAATAAAAACTAATTTAATTTTTACTATGAGTTAGATGCTAAGTATTTAACAGTGAGCAAGATTAACATGGCCTGGGCCCTCGCTCATGATACCTAATCAACTGGTGATGAAACAGAGGCTAAGAAAGGGTATGTGACTTGCTCCAGGTCATGAACAT